GCTGCGATGTTACTACTGTGGTGGGAGAGCAACAGAAAAACTGGCAAAATTATAGTACATGATTATCATTTTGTTCCTGTTCTCATTTCTGGACCTTTTGTTACTCTAAGGCCAGAAAAGACACGCAAAGTGAAGAGTAAAGTGGTACACACGGTAAAGTGGCTCCACTAATTTTATTCTATTCAGACTTTTACACTGTTTGTGTTCTCTCCGTATGCCTTATTTTTTATTTCACAATCTTCACATTGATTTGCTGCCAAAATGGACCACTGCAGTACATGACAGGGAATTGGAGTGAAATGTCAGTCGCAGTCTTTTAGTCTGTCACCCCTCTCCCATCCTTAATTGGTGAGTGTGACGACCTTTGAGACTGGGCAAGATCTTAAGATAAACAGTATGAGTGACATTTTGAGTTGGCTAGTGGGATGCAGTGGACATGGAGAAAGTATGGCCATTCATATATAATTTGTCATGTTTTAGGATCAGGCCAGATATAAAGCTAAGTACAGGTGAAGTGTGCAATAGTGATAGAAAAAATGAACTTCAAAACTTTGAATGAGTTCAAAATTATTCACTATTTTGAAGATCTTGAAACACCATGCACTGGTGATGCCTGCAGGTCAAAACTGTGTAAATGCAATAAAAACTTGCATAAAACACCTTCTACAAAGTAAATGTTATTAACAAACCATCAAATACTATTCAATTTGAAACGTGTTTGTATAGTATGTGTTCTTTTATTAATTTGGAGTGCTTGTTTGGTTGTTAAGTCTTCCTTTTTATTATACAGATGTGTCACTGAAAATGTCTACAAATTAATAAAAATGATCTGAGATCAGGTATGAACCATAGACCCAGGTTTATGGGTACTCTGAGAACACTTTTGGGTAAACTATTAATTTAAAGGGATAGTTCACCCAAAAATGAAAATTACCCGATGATTTACTCACCCTCAAGCCATCCTAGGTGTACATTACTTTCTTCTTATGGTTTATAAAGTTTTAAATATGGATATTCTTCTTACACAAATGCACCGATTCACATCAGAAGGCCTTTATTAACCCCCCAGAGCCGTGTGGAGTACTTTATTTTGCTTCAAAATCTTGACCACGATTCAGTGCCAGGACATTTTTTAATGTAACTTTGATTGTATTCGTCTGAAAGAAGAAAGTCATATACACCTACGATGGCTTGAGGGTGAATAAATCATTGGGTAATTAAAATGTTTGGGTGAACTATCCATTTAAATGAATAGTTTACCCAAAAGTGAATATTCTGTCATCATTTACATGCCCCATACATTCAAACCTGTATGACTTTCTCATCTCAGTGTTTTGATTATTCTGTATAGTGAAAGTCAGTGGGGTCTAGTGTTGCTTTGAGCCCCACTGACTTTGTATGGACAAAGACAGTTGAAATATTCTTACAGTGAAATAAGATTCACTATCCATATAATGAAAGTAAATGGAGCCAAAAGCCACACTGGACCTCACTGACTTTAATTTTATGGACAAATGCATTAGAAATATTCTTCAAAATGTCTTATTTTGTGTTCTGTAGAAGAAAGAATGCATACAGGTCTGGAACAACATGAGGCTGAGTAAAAAATGACAAATACTAGTTTTAGGTGAACTATCCTTTTAAAAGACACTTAATATTAAGTAAGATTATTGCTTTGACTACACTGACACAAAACTTTAACTGACTTGAGCTAAATAATGAAACTACTGTCTTCAGTTGAGCTGCTTATCACTGAATTGAATTTAATTATCAATGATATAATATATAATTGAACACAATTGATGAACTTTACACAATTATTGAACTGAACTTAATCAACATTGAACTTTACTTGAGCTGAATAACAACACCATCTTGATAAAGCTGCACAATTTTTATTTGCCTCATATTTGATGAAGTTTACATCATTAATTTGGTTACTGTCCTGTTTAATACTGTGGAGCTGTGTTTAAACAATCTCTATTGTAAAGCACTATATAAATAAACTTGAATTTTAAGAACTGTGCATTTTTGCCAAGATCAGGTTCAATGGAGACACGCAAACGTCTTCAAAGTCTCTCCAGATGACATATCCTTGTTAAATTGCTATGTCTGCATAAATCTGCTTTTTAATAAACTGTGAACCCATAGAGCCTCTGCACTGACAATGTAATAGTGAAAACCTGGTTTCCTTTATCTCACCATTGAAGCTTGAAGACATTAGATTCTCACACTTGGTTTCACAAACATCAGTTGTATTAAAATCACATAATATCTCAACGGCTCCTGGCAGACTGTTTAATAAGAGCTCATGCACTGAGTATTATGATTTCTGTAATGAGAGTGACAACCTTAATCTGACCCTGTCTGTGAACACTTCCAAAGGCAGGAAAGGCTGAGGCCAATTAGGGTGGGATCGTTTACAGGGGATGACACCCTCCGAACAAGAAAGCGAGAAAACATGCCCCAATTACCAGCCGGTGATGTCATCACTTGCGGTCAGACACGCTTGATTCCTACATGATGTGACGGATGCGCTGAGAGCCCCGGTGCTTCTGTGAGAAACATGCAGAGCAAGTTCATGACAGGGAGGAGGCATAAGCTTCATGACACAACACTCATTCACTGGCTCTGACCGATGATTTTCACATTGCACATTTCATATTTAGATATGGAAAAAGTATTTCCCTTTATTCATTAGCACATCAGTGGAGCTGACTTGTATTTTCTCCATAGAGGGATTTAGCAAAGGAAGCGAGAGTGAAGGTTGAGCCAAAGGCACACTAGACTCTGTCTCCCCCTGAGGTATGCTTATTCGATTAGAGTCACACTGGGATGAAGACTTTAAGAGATAGTTTCTCATGTTTGGCTTTGCCCATACATACTCTCCTGAAACAGGCCTAATGTATCTTCAGGGGCAGATAACCTAGATCAAATTTCACATTTAAAAGCAAAGTGTGTGTCCTTGCTTATAGATACCTTTCTATTGATTTGCTCTGCTATGTGAACAGCATGTATCTAAGATGGGCTGCCATCTGCGGGTTTAGAGGATGTTTGTATTCATGGGTGAAACCCACAGAACCCAACCTCATCTGTTGATCTATGCAATGTGATGTTACATAACCCCCTGGTATTGTTTTGTCAATAGCAATGGATATGTCAATAGCTAATTCTGCCATGTTATTGTTTGTTTTGTTTGGACCCATTTTATGGGTCTTGGAAATTATATTGAATGTTCCATTCATGAAGAAAATTAGGTGATTGAGCAGGCCCATGGGAGCACTTTTGCAACCGACTGCATTTAACTGCAGAACTTGGGTGCTTAGCGCTTTCAGTGTTGGAGGAAAATATAAACTGAGTGTGATTACTCAATATCAGCTGCCAGTGTCACCATTTGAGGATGAACTTCTAATTTTGTAATTTCTGCAGAACCTTCATTGCTGTGTTACCATGAGAACAATAATAATGCAGAAGCTGTAACTGTTTCAGTCCTGGAGACCATTAATGTAATGAGACACAATGAGAATAGTAAAAAACAAGCAAACTGAAGTAGAGAGCTTGTATTATGCAGTTCTGTGTTCGAAATCCATTTGTATAATTTGTACTTTAGTTCGGAGCAGATGCACTTAACTGGTCATTCCATAGAATCTGTGCTTCTTCTATTGTGAAAATGTGTTGTTGTTTTTTTTAGAGTTCTGAATGTTCTATCAGACAAAGAATGTCTTTAAATGTTAATAAACTGCATTGTGCCATTTCCTGCTAAATTAAAGTTGGGATATAGCCATACCTTTAAAAAAATAACAAGGTTAACAATTTTACAGTTAATTTAGTTATTGCTTGCTATGTGCTAAAGATAACGAGTGTTTATTAGAAAGACAATTTAATGTTGATATTTCTACCAATATCCAGTTTTCAGTTATCAGTCATTTGCTGTCATGGTAGCATAGTGGATATTTTAAGATCGCCACCTACTGACAAAATGAAAATATAAGATAAAATGATAAATAAAGACACTTTTCCTTGAAGAGTTTATATCAGGGTTCCTCAAATCTTGCCTTGGATGGCCAATCCGCTGCAGAGTTTAGCTCCAACCCTGATCAAACTCACCTACCTGTGATTTTCTAATAATCCTGAAGACAATGATTAGCATGATCAGGTGTGTTCGATTAGGGTTAAAGCTAAACTCTGCAGGAAAGTGGATCTCGTAGGCCAGATTTGAGGAGCCCTGGTTTATATGCTGAAAAGATGTAACATTTTTCTTTAGATAGATAGATAGATAGATAGATAGATAGATAGATAGATAGATAGAGATTAAATAAATAAATAAGTAAATTAAAGGAAACTCCTGCATTCAAAATGGGTTTATGACAACACACAGTAAAAGTTAATGTCAGCTTTTCATTGTTTACACGTTCACAAAGGACATAGAAGGCACTGATAATAACGCCTGCTTTGCCCACCCTCAGCTCACTATCAAATACAGTAATGCAGTGGCCCCTATGGGTTACCTTGTGCACAACAATTTTGCATATTTCTCTGGTTTCAGTTTACAATTACCATTAAAGTGTTGCTAAAATCCGCTGTTAGTGACTCGTCTCGATTCAATGACTTCTTTCTATTTACGAACGAAAACGCTGAGAAGAGTAGCAAAAGATTTCCTAAGGTCCAGAGGGACTGTCCTGATGCACGTTTCATAAAATCGTTCATGATTTGAGAAGCAACGAGAAGACTTGAGCTTGATTCAGTGCAGAATCAAGCGCTGTCCGCGGTGCTGAACTCCGGATCCGGCGCTGTCCGCGGTGCTGAACTCACTGTGGCGACCTATTGAAGATGAAACGCTCCTCTGTTCTCATTCCTCTCCGCACTCAACTTAGTAGCGCTGTCTCAGACGATGCTTTTCTGTCTGCTCTGGCGGCGCGAGCATCTCCAATGTAGATAAACTTACTTTCGCAGTGGGGAAACGTAATGATATCGAATCTATACTCGTTTATTAACTTGACATCAAAATGTTTTCTCGGCGGAGGTGCCGAAGACCAAATGGCGTTATACTGTTTCACCTGCAGTATTTGGGAGTTGATTTAAAAGCCGCGGATGACTAGATGATCACGAGAAGGAAGTGCTTTTGTACAGATGTTTTGGATCTTTTTTCCTTCCTTTTTCATTTTCTGAGAGGTCACTTAATGATCGGGGAAGGATAATTGCGTTTCTGGATATGTCATTTCTGAAGTGGGCATGATCAGCTTTCATTTGTAAATATTATAGACATCGGATTATCTGTTCTGTTGGAGTAAGCGATTTTTTGCACCAACTCGAATTGGAATGATTTTTGTGGTCTTATCGTCACGAAGGTGCACTTGCTCGCTTGATTACGATTCCAACAAAGTGGAAACAGACATTTCAACGCGGTAAGTCGAGTCCAGCCTCTTGGTTAAAATGTATTCTTGTTCATTGCAATACTTCAATGCAATAATAATTATGTTCACGATCATATTAATTACTAAAATGCATTTTTCTCTACATTCAAGGCAGGCAGTCTCTGCACAGATGCATTCAGCATGCCAGAGGCAGTCATTTTATGATAGACTAGACGTATTGTCAATACTAGACTTGCTTTCAGTGTAAAAAAGAAACTCTTTCTTTGAAGTGCTATCCTCTGGCAGCTCCTCTGCTTTTCTAAGTGCAGAATCTCACACTACCGTGCCGTTTTATGGTTAATTTCTCGTGCTTTCACGAGTGAAGAGGCATTTGGACCGAAGGCCATTACGCACTCGTTAATGACACAGAAACCGTGTCTTTTCTTCAGGGCTCTAGGAGTAGATGAAATTCAGAGTGTAGAAATGTACGGACATGGTCAATGCACACCTATCTGCAGTGCTATGAGGGATTAGAAGCTGGAGAGCTACCTGTTGTCCCTGGGAAATAGATATCCTGGCTAACTTTGTTGAGCACTGTCTATGATGCCTGTGATTATCTGGGTTTTTGTTTTTGTTGATTTACCTACTTTGCTCTTCGGGGATTGTTTTCTCGTACACACGCTTTTCTTTTGAAGTAATATCTTCACCCCCTCCTGATACAGAGCTTACTAATACCAGAGCCAGCACATAATGTAGGAGGAAAGCACACCTCGTTTATATGAGCTGACTCTTCATCAATCTATGGGTATCTTCGGTGCATTCTGTATGGGAACAAATGGCAGATCTTTACCAGAGATTAACCAGTATGGGAGACCGGGGAGTGCTGTAACTTTGGGTGAGTTGTAACACCATCAGTTTAACCAATTAGAAATGAGCTACATGAATGAAATCACTAACATACATGATCACCATCCTCACGAGAAGGCAGTAGAAGTTTAATACAAGAAAAAAAAATAAAGAAAGCAAAATGTCAGGTTTACAAACTGATTTGCAAATTTGTGATCCCCTGAACCAGCTCATTCAGATTATTTAATCTAATATACAACATGTCTATTTTGCTATCTACATGTTTACATCGTGACTGACCAGATGCGGAGGGATGGGAGAAGGAAATACAGCGATTTTTTTTAAATGCTAGAATTTAATAAAAAATCATCTCCATGTTTAACATTTACAATATAAAATTAAATTATTACTGAATTAAAGTAAATTTGAGTACCACAACCAATTCAAACACAACATTTAAAATTCGCACCTCAAAGGTAGGTAATGGCACTTTATGTACTTGACACTTATTTATACAGTTTACTAAAGGTTTGTCATATATTTATAAACTGCTAAAGAAAAAACATACATTGTTACAACACTCCCCATTCATCCCTGTACATGGTTACTTTTTTTCGGCAAACTGTACTTTGATCATTAACTTATAGTGTGACGATATTTTATCAGTTAACATAAAGAAAATGCATGCCCAGTTATCAAGCCACGGGTTGTTTACATTTCTTTCAGTGTCATATTTGCAGCATGGAGACTTACAACTTAAGGGACCTGAGACACTCTCCTTGAATGCGTCAGACTGCCGCGGCGAAGGATGGGCCCTTTTCTCCCGGCGATTTGCGTCGTGCTGCTCGCCCTGAACGCCGCTGTCTCGCCGGCCTCTGTCGGCCCTGAGGACTATCCCGCCACGGACGAGGCCGAGAGAACTGCCAACAATGACATCATTTTCGATGACTACCGAGGGAAAGGCTGCGTGGATGACAGTGGCTTCGTGTACAAGCTCGGGGAACGCTTCTTCCCGGGCCACTCGAACTGCCCGTGCATGTGCACGGAGGACGGTCCTGTCTGTGACCAACCCGAGTGCCCTAAAATACACCCCAAGTGCACCAAGGTGGAACACAACGGCTGTTGCCCCGAATGCAAGGAGGTCAAAAACTTCTGTGAATATAGAGGGAAGACTTATAAAATCCTGGAGGAGTTCAAGGTAGGATCACGTTGCCTCCCAATTACCAGAATAATTATTCTATGCACGAATATGGGGCTATTGTATGAATTTAGCATTGCATCGTGTATCCCACACGCCTGTGGTTAATTATTAGGTGAGTCTTGCACTCCAGCTGAAACCTCAACCATGTAGGCTACAGTGGAGAATCACATGGATATACAATTTCTAAAGGGAGTAAGCCTTCCACTATTTTCAAATTGTGGGTGGATTGTACTTTACACTGTTTGAATTTAATAATCATGCCTGCAAGTTTCACAAATCTGCCTCAGGACAGCATACATGACAATATATTTCAAATTCTGGCATCATATGTCAAAATCAGACACTCAAGGCCACTATATACACTATGTCCTTAAATATATGTATTTGCGAGGGTGGGTCCGTGCATGAGTGCAGTATGGGATATTGTGGGATAGTTTTATGCTTGTTTTACTCTTAGAGGCTCATGATAAGCCCTATCCATCACTATCAACTGTAATTTGATTAGAGCTGTGCCACAGAAACAATCCACTTGACAAAGCAATCCATTTAAAACTAGTGTGCATTTTCTCTTGATTTTAGATTCAAGTTATTTATATTGATCGGAAGAAGAAAGCAAACCCATCAATCATACAACAAAGCACTGAAGCATTCTTAAAAAGACCCATCAGCCATATAGATTCATGAATGTTGTGCTGCATGATGAACCATTCAGCCAACTTGAGGTTCATAAGACGTAGAACTGACAAATAAATCATGCATTTGGTATTTCATGACCGCTTTATCAGGCCTAACATGTTGTAAGCTCTTTGGTGTCATGCCTCATATCAGCAAAGCACATATTTAACAGAAGTAGTCTAATAAGCAGTTGCAAGTACTAGATATTTATCTAATAATATGTAGTGTATATGAAACATAACTAACATCAGCAGGACCCTTGTTTACTTTGGTCCATTTCCACTGGCAGGGTTGGAAATAGAAGGTTGTACATCTTTAATTCTCACATAACAGAAATACTCTCAGAAGAATTTATGTCAGAGAATTGAAACCTGCGACACCAGGAAGGCAACTGATGAGATAAAACAGTAAAAAAACAAAATTTACTTTCACCCACAAAGCTCATTTCCAGGGTTAACGTGGGCTGTTTCAGCAAGTGCAAACGCTAATCTAAGTTTTAGGTATCAACAAAGGGCAAAGCAATAAATCATCACACACAAAATTAGTCTTTGGACTCCACCTCGCAAGTGCACCTTTTAGATTGTTTCCTGCACTTGTTAGCACCATTAATGGATTTCATCTCTCTTGAGAACTTGAATTCTGTACCCTTTGGGATTTTCTGATTTTGTCACAGTAATTTAAATATTAATATAAATATTCATGTTTAAAGTTATATTAATACATTGTGACATTGATGTTTATTTATTAATTTATTAGTTGCAATATTTAGTTGTAAAGATTGATGACACCAGGCAAAATCCTATTTTCAAAAATATATTTTAGGGTAAACACAATATATTAAGTAGAAAGAACAGACCATAAGAAATGTTCTTTGATGTTTCTGATATTTTATACTTCACTGGCCACATTGGTAATTATGTATTTAATCTTAGAAGTGATGCTTTGGATCTTTTTCATGGCTTCATGGCTTTGCACTGCATGTATCTTGAATCTTCTCTCTCTAGAGAACAAGATATCGTTAGCATTCATCTTATGCTTACTGATTCATTGAGTGTAATCTTGAGATAATGTAAATTCAGGCCTTTTTAGAAAACCTGTCTCCTGACATTAAATGTATTGCAAAGATTATTATCTTAGACTATATTACCAGTAGATCAAAACCCGAACAATGTTTAATATCAGGATTACAGTGGGGTGGAAGGTCTATGTAATTCAGTCTCACACTGGGTGATGAATTTCCCATCCGGCAATATCTGATATATTATCACTCACCAGTTCTGTTGTATCAACATGGGGCTGGCCAGCTTCAGAGCTGCTTTTTGACAAAATCAGCATTTTATTGCAATTCACAGTGTTTTCTTTGAGGTGTCAAGCTGTATTCAGTTTCACATACGTTGGCCACAATCAAATTAGAATCTACAAAAGCTGGCAAGGTTAGAGCACTTCATTTAGGCTCCAACATCTAAGGAAATGGCATAGGGAAAGAGTGCCAAAGTCAAGCAGTTTCTTTTTAATTAGGGTCTCATAGACTTTTTAAATTAAATCCATCTTTGTTAGGCGCCCGATAAGCCCTGTTTTGATGCAAGTGCATGTTTCAGCAAGACATATTTGCCCATGTAAGTCTGTTGATAAAAAGATCAGGTCCATCAATACCACATGTTCTCTCCAACCTTGAGTGGAAGGACAACTTACAATCTTTTATTACCTCTAAAACGGTTTATCTGGCTCTATTGATTACCTCCTCTCAAAAGAGACCCTGATTGAAAACCCATAAACAAAGCCAAGCAATTCATAACTTGCAGAAATCCCTTTTTGATCAGTTTTCCGCTCTGAATTTGATGTGCACATTAACCAAACGAGGCATCATCGCTCAATAGTGTCCAGTGAGATCTCTTTGAATTAAAAAGCAAGTACTGAGGTCCAGCTGCGAATGGGAATCAAAGGGCATCACGGTGCTTGATAGCTGATCCAATTAAGAGAAGCCGACAGGGTAACCTTTGGTGTGGGCTACATTGGCATTTCCTCAGCCGTTCTTTGGCGAGGACTGTGTTTACTTGGCTCCGCAGGAGTGGGAGGAGCCCCACTGAGATATGAATCTTACACGCGGAGAAGGCTTTTCACTGTAGAATGAGGCAGACCAATCAGTCAGTGGAGCTTCTTGTTGTTACTAATCGCTGCAAATGACAGCTGAGTGACGGATTTCCAAACGAAAGACCTGAAGTGCATTATCAAAGCAATGCACGCTGACCTGTGTGCAACCCAGCTTGACCCGGACAGTTATGTGGCTTTTTAAATGTCACGATTTCCAGGCTGAGGGTGATTGAAAGAGCTATAGGATTTCTACCAACACAACCGAGTTAATCACATCACTTCTAAAGCATGGCGATAATTGTCTTGATTTTTACAATGTTCCAGTGAAAGTTCAGGAAGAGCATGTTCTTATAATCCTGTCAATCGAAACCTTGAGAGAATAAACTATAACGGCCAATTACTTTACTGCTCTGGACCTGCACCTTTTCTCTCTGTACACTGTGTATTAGGATGCCAAACCAGCTCTTTTAGATCATAATAAAAGGAATTTGTGAAATATTTGAATCATTTAAAAAATGTAATATTTTATGCAATATAAAAATACAAGCACAGCGGTTGCAAAAAGTATTTGGACATTTATGCATCACTTAAAAAGTGTATATTACTGGATTAGATCATTGAAAAAAATTTAAATGCAAGCACACTTAAGCAAGCACAAATCAAAAATGTGGGGTCAGTAAGATATTAGTAAGACAGCAACGATATACAGTACAAGTGCTGTGACAAGTCTCAGTTAGTCTAGCACAGTGCACATAGCAAGGTGTTTTTAATAAATTAGACCAAAATGAATAGAATAGAATAGAATAGAGCAAGGATGCATTATATTGAGGATTGCTTTTATTGAGCAAGGATGCATTATATTAATCAAAATATTAAAATATTCCAAAATATTCAAAATAAATATGTTCTTTAGAACTTTCTATTCATCAAAGAATCCTTAAAATCATGGTTAACACAAAAATATAAAGCAGCACAACTGTTTTCAACATTGATGAGTTTCTTGTGCACCAAATTAGCAAATTAGAATGATTTCTGAAGGATCATTAAGACCATTGGAGTAATTGCTGCTGAATATTCAGCTTTGCCATCACAGGAATAAATGACCTTTTAAAATATATTAAAATAAAAACAGATACTTTAAATTGTAATAATATTTCACAATATTACTCTTTTTGCTGTATTTTTGATCAAATTAATGCAGTCTTGTGAACATAAGAGAATCTTACAAGATCAAAAAAATACAACAACAACAAAAATCTTACTGACCCCAAAGGAGAACTGGGACCATTTTATTAGTTAAATATAATCACTTTTTTTTTTTACAGATACTACTTGGTTTGATAGTTTGCAACTAATGTAAAGAAAGTGTCCAGATACATTTTGGTGCCACCTTACCCAAGAACAACATATATAACACTAGGAGTGTAACAACATATAAAACGCATGATTAAGTGGTAAATTTAGGTGATTTTAGGGGGCAGTGGGATTGGGGTTCTGGGGGGTAGTGGTTCCTTTTTATATCTTGCAATTCTGAGAAATGTGAGATGTAAACTCGCAATTGGGAGGAAAAAAAGTCAGAATTGTGAGGTAAAAAGTTAATTTTTAATTACCCTTTTTATTCTGTGGCGGAAACAGGCTTCGATAGTTTATTGCTTAAAAATGTTTCAACTATAACATATATCTCTCTTTTTCTCTCTTACATGCACATACACACAAAATAAGTTGCCCTCTCATCTGAATATGCTACAGTGAGCAGTAATTAGTGACTGTACTCGCAAACTCTGACACCTGTGAGAAGAAATAGCTATAAAAAGCACCTGAAATGAATTGCTTAAATTGATTTTCCAATCCAACTGCCTGAGGAACAGCACAGTTTTAATTTAAAACACTGATTAAAAGCTAACAAGTAGGCCGGCTGAAACTGGAACTATGAAATGGTTTCAGAAAAGTTTCATCTCATATTCCAATTGCTTCAAGCTGAAATCAGTGGTTACTTCAGTATCTTCATTTTCCCACCATCCTCTCGGTCTTGTATTCCCCAATCCTGGTGTTGTTTTAACATAGTCACATAGGAATGCAACCTTTGCAACCAACCGTGATCTTTAACATTTTCTGAAGGCATTTCGCATGAACCTTTTAGTCACCCCATGTCTGGAACTACATTTCCCAGAATGCTGTCAGAACGATGCAGCTCAGCATCTGTGCTTTAACTCATGAGGATCTGATGACTC